CCTGTCTCGCAAACAAAGAAAACAAACAAACAACAAAAAAGAAATTATCAGAAAGTAGCAGACCGATTTACAATAGACCACATTAAAAAAACAAACTTCCAGCTGGGCGCGGTGGCTCACGCCTGTAATCCCAGCACTTTGGGAGGCCGAGGCAGGTGAATCACCTGACGTCAGGAATTCGAGACCAGCCTGGCCAACACGGTGAAACCTCCACCTTGTCTCTACTAAAAATGCAAAAATTAGCTAGGCCTGGTGGTGTATGCCTGTAATCCCAGCTACTCAGGAGGCTGAGGCTGGAGAATCACTTGAACCTCGGAGGTGGAGGTTGCAGGGAGCTGAGATGGCGCCACTGCATTCCAGCCTGGGCGACAGAGTGAGACTCCATCTCAAAAAAAAAACCTAACACAGAGATTATCCCAATGCTTTACAATCCCACATTAAACGTATTATTTCTATAATGAGAAGTAAAAATTATTTTTTTTAAAAAAAGGAAAAATAGACGCGTCAAGCTTTGTAATAAAAAGTAGTCTTAAAGACAAACTTAAGATAAATTTTCTAACAGTAAATGGGTCAAGAGCAAAGGATTTACTTTTTAATCGGTCACAAATCATGAATTATATTACAGAAGCTTCTCAGAAACTACCCAGAAGGGAACTGCCTTTGAGTCCACAAACCATTTATTTAATCAAGTGTGGCACACCCACTCAGAATGCAAACACTGCCTCTACCCATCCCTCTGAATTGCCTATTCTACCAATAAACACTGCTTCTTTCTTTCAAAAATTGAATCTAATTAAATCAACCAATTAACTGTCTTGCTCAAAGCACTGCAAGTTTCTATGGCACCTGGGCAAACCCTAAAAAGTGGGCAAGTCTGACTTTTCTGAACATCCTAGTTCTAAAATACTATCTTAAGAACATAGTTGCTTACACATTTCCCAAGAATTCCTGTTAAAGAAAATTCCTAAGTACCTCAAATAACTGGAATTCTTCAGCTGCAGTTATGTAAAAATCAAGATATGCTTCCCCTCAGAGCAAAAATTGAAACGAAAATGTTGTCCTGCAAGTTGTAATTACATTATTTCTGAAAAGCCTTGAGGAATCTGAGGTATCTTATCAGAACCTGCTAAATCTAAACAGGTATATGACCATTCTAACGATTTCTACTGTTACGGCCTCATAACTATCTTCTCCTTTTCCTTAACTATCACGTTAAATCCCCAGTTACTGTTTCCCCTCAGTGGAAACAAAAGCTAGTAGCTTTTGTTAAAAGCTAATCAGCTTTCATTAGTTATTTATTTGCCTCCTCCTAAGAAGCAAGACTAACACTTTGTTCTTTCTACTTTGCTTGTCTTATTATTTAACATAAGAACATAACTTTTGCCCCAATCCCTCGAGATAGAATTTTTTATTCTGACAGCCAGAGAGCTCTCATCCTTCTAATATCTCATTAAAACTACACCCAGGCCGGGCGCGGTGGCTCAAGCCTGTAATCCCAGCACTTTGGGAGGCCGAGACGGGCGGATCACGAGGTCAGGAGATCGAGACCATCCTGGCTAACACAGTGAAAACCCGTCTCCACTAAAAAATACAAAAAACTAGCCGGGCGAGGTGGCAGGCACCTGTAGCCCCAGCTACTCGGGAGGCTGAGGCAGGAGAATGGCGTGAACCCGGGAGGTGGAGCTTGCAGTGAGCTGAGATCCGGCCACTGCACTCCAGCCTGGGCGACAGAGTGAGACTCCGTCTCCAAAAAAAAAAAAAAAAAAAACACTATGCCCAAAGGGAACAAAGTTAGGGTCAAAATTGTCTCAAAGGTAGTTAATTTTTTTTTCTTTCATACTTATTAACTAATTGAGGAAAGTAAAAGGAAAACCTAAATCTCCAAAGTTCTATACAGAAATGGAAGCTCTTTTAAAAAGAGCTGTTAACATGGAGTTTTAAAAACAAACACACGAACAAACTATTGTATTTCAGGGACAACCAAAACATGGCATTTACTTAATCAAATGTTAAATCCACAGGAAGAAATTTGGTAATTAACATCACGGAATAATGCAATTTGCTATAGAGAAAAACTTGCTGCAAATTCCCTGGAGATCTTTAAAAACAGCATAGAATTTTCTATCAGGGCTGATTTTAATAAAGTCCTACAAAGAGATAAAGGACTGAATTACATAAACTCTCAAAGGTTCTTTCCAATGCTAATGTAAAAGTTTCCCTTGGGCAAATTGCCACACTTTATCTCAAATAAAGGTTTGTGCTCCTCCCACTCATCTGAATAGCAAAGAGGAAAAATTACTGCTTTATTGTTCAGCTGCTACTATTGTGAAAACTGTGTGTCTACTGTCATCACTAAACAGCAATGTCTGATTGTTTCATAACTCCTTAACACAGCATCTAGCTAATCAAATTCTAAACCCAAATCCAAGAGTTGTTCTTTTACTATATACATTCATTCATGCCTTCAAGCATAGAAACATACTCCAGAGTGTAAACTGATCTTAGACGTTTCTGACTTCTCTCCTGTTCATTAAAAGACATGGGAGATGGGAGGAAAATAATTTACATCTCAACCATCTTATACTCTAAATTCATATTCTAGTAAAAGCATGACACACAGCTGTTTGCGTATTTTTGATGGCACAGTTGGCAACATTTCCCTCAGAAAAATGGGAAAGACAGGTAGAGGTTGGAGCACAGGCACATCGCTCTAATTAAAATGAAAACAACTTTTAAAAAATGTTAAGATATTGTATAGCTCTCATGTAGTTACCAAGATCTCTCTTTTGTATAAAAAAAGAAAGAAAAAAATTCACAGACAATATTCCTCCATCTGAGAGTGTAGAAAGCTCCAGATCTGAAGTCTGTTTAAAAAATACTGGTGAGAAGTAAGTTTTCTAGAAGGGATACTGCAGCCCTCACAGCATTCCAACAGACCATTCTTTTAAATGCCACCAATGTGCCTTGAGTGAAACTTTTATAAAGCATGTCCCCAAAAGTCAACCAAATGTTATTTATACAGATTTTAAAATGTCATGTTAGTACCTTGATATTTATTCACCTTATTAGTTGACAAGCTCTGAAGAAATATCATTCTACAAATGCTAAATTGTTAGAGATTATGGGAGAAAGGTCCTTGATTTCCTACTAAATCAGAACATAACTCACAGGGATTGAAAGCAGCATTTTAACACAAAGCACCTCTGAAGGGTGAACACCTCTCTTGACTTCCTTTTTCATTAAAAAAAAAAAAAAAAAAAAAATCATACCTCGGCCGGGCGCGCCTGTAATCCCAGCACTTTCAGAGGCCAAGGCAGGCGGATCACCTGAGGTCAGGAGTTCCAGATCAGCCTGGCCAACATGGTCTCTACTAAAAATACAAAAATTAGCCGGGCGTGGTGACGGGCGCCTGTAATACCAGCTACTCGGGAGGCTGAGGCAGGAGAATCGCTGGAACCCACGGGGTGGAGGCTGCAGTGAACCGAGATCGCGCCACTGCACCCCAGCCTGGGCGACAAGAGCGAAATTCCATCTCAAAAAAAAAAAAAAAAAAATCATACCTCACTCATTCACCTACAATGTATTTTCTAACTCCTACCCGTTAAATTTCCCTATTACATTCTATATCACAACAATTTTGTCTTATAAGTCGTTTACATTGCTAGAAAAACAACAAACCATTCCACTGCTTATAATGAGCTCATTGTTATCACTTCCTCCCTCACACAATTATTTCTTTAAAAGTGAAAACAAATCTTTTGATCTGTGTATTACTTCGCTTTGACAACTTACAACTTCAGGGGAGGTCAAGTCTGTTTTACTTATTTTTCCCCTCAACTCTCAGTCTCAATATCTCACATGACCTGGAAAAATGCATTATTTTCTGCTTCACACCAAACAGTAACAGATCTATCCATCATAACTATTCATCTCGGGTGGAGCCTGCCAGATATTTCTGTTAAAGCCAAATGAAGATCACCATCCTATCACACTCCTGCTAAAGGGGAACAGGGTACTTTCTAAATGTTCCTGAGTATCTGTACAAGACTTAAACGTATTAAAGTCAACTGGAAATTATCCCAACACTCTCTTCCAGGAACACCGATCTTGCATCTTTTTAACCAGCTCATCTTTAAAAACACATTTCAACAGAATACTTGTCAGTCTAGAGCACTGTAAGGTTGATAATAAGCACTGTCTTGAATTTAGAACTTTTCAAAATATTTTAGAACTGCCTGAACTTGGTTGATGATTCAGCATGGTTAATTAGTACAGAGTCATCGCAAGTCACCACCAAGCTAAACAATCCCCTTGTGTGATAGCACTCGTGTTCAGAAAAGGGTCGAAAGGGCCACCCAATTCAATCTGGAGCCTGGGGTAGAGTCACACCACGGGCAGAGTTAAGAGAATAATGCTTTCGAGGGACCAGCTTGGATTCCCTGCCAGATCTACGGACCAATGTCCTGCTTGGGGAGCGAACGTGGTACTCCAGAATGTGGTTGGGAGAGGCTGGGTGTGTTTCCATCTGACACCACCGCCTAACTTTCTTTGCCTCTTAAGGACCCCATGGGTGGTTTTCTTTGGAAGGCTGCAGGACTTTAAGAAGAAGCAACAACCTCGGGGGTTTGAAGGGACCCTCGGGAGCCCTTGGGTGGCTCCCACTGGGGTCCGAGGGGTCCCTCATTGCTTCCCCTGGGGGTGGCATACACTTCTGGCAGGATGGGTCAGAGAAAGGTACCCGGGGCTCTGAGCAGAACCCAGAGCTCCGGGGGGAAGGGAGGAAGACCTCCAGGCGCGGGGACGTGGAGGAGCCCCCGAGTCGTCCTTGAGCCTCTATGCTCGTGGAGGTCGGGCCAGCGGCCGGACACTGCCGCCCACACCTGCGAGCGGCGCCCACCCGGCGGATTGCCCAGCGGATAGCCAGGAGACCTCGCCCTGCCCGGCCGCCCCTCCGCCAGCCCGCACCGCCACCCCGGCCCCGCCGCGCGGGCCCCTCGTACCTGGCTGGCGGCGGCTGCGGCTGCGGCGCTGGTCCTCACGTACCCGTTCCGTACTTCCCCGTTCGCCACGCAGCCATTCGCCCGCACCGTGCGGCGACAGCAGCAGCCTCCGGGCCCCGGCCGCATCTTCCTGGCAGCACCAGGCGCAAGGCAGGCTCTGTGGGCGGCGGCAGCGGCAGCAGCGGCGGCGGCTCCAAGTCCCGCTCCGCACCCCACCCACCTCCCCGAAACCGGAAATGGCTGCAGCGCCGCCGCCAATTCCCGGGCGGGCCTTCACAGAGGGCGGGGCGCTCTCCGCAGAGGACCGGGCTCGCCCAAGGCCACGCAGCGAAGGGAAAGAGCGGCAGGGACCGGCCGAAAGGGATGTGGTCCTGAAGACCGCTGACCTATCTGGAAGAGAAGGAGGCGGACCCCATGCTGCTGCCTGGCCAATCACGGACGAGAGCAAAGCGCCTCGCCGGAGAGGGGGCTTCTCTAGAGGGATTCCAGGGCCTGGCACTTGATTGGAGGCCGCTTCCAGGTCCTGGGTAGGGCTTGCCTGTTTAATGGTCCAGACAGAGAAGGAGGCGGAGCCCAGGGAAAAGTAGCCAATTAGAGTGTGAGGAAAGAAAAGGGGCTGAGCCCAAGTCTCTAGAGCGGGTTCCCAGGTTCTCCAGGACAGGTGGCGCAGTCGGTGCCTTTGCCTCACGGGAAGTTCTGGGCTTTATGTCCTAGCCCAAGACCCGCAGCTCCCGTATTTAATTAGCTTATTCCTCTGTGAGTATTTACAGAATAGATTTTTTGACAATCTCTCACCATTCTTCAATATGCGCCACACATTGACTATTTCTGAATTATTATAAGTAATAATTCAGATGTCTTTTCACGTGCCCTTCACATTTGCCCTTGGCAGGGTTTTCCATACAGTCTCCTTTAAAGTCTTTCCTTCAAAGTTAGAAAACCTGGTCTAATTCCAGCTCTGCCCATAACTGGAAGCTAAAACTTGAGCACTGTATTTAACCACTTTAGAAGCCAAATTCTTTAAAATGGAGTTAATACTTCCTGCTTCCTAGACTTATTGCAAGAATTATATCATTAACCCATTATGCACCTCTTATAATACTTGACTCATAGTAGGAGTATAATAAATATTATTTTCTCACCCTTTTAGTTGCATCTTCCCATTGGGTTAGAAAGCAAAGAAATTGATCTACATTACAATTAGAGGCTTTCTGTTACCCATAAAGAATTTAGTGTCATAATTAAGAGGATGGACTCTGGAGTCGGTCTGGGTTTTAAATCCTAGCTGCGCCACTTACTAGCTGAGTGACCTCTATGTGTCTTCATCTGTTCAGTGGGGATAATAATAGTTGTCATGAAAATTGAATAAGTTTATGTATGTAATGTATTTTGTACAGGACCTAGCAATTAGTAAGCATTCATTAAGTGCTGGTTACTAGTAATTGCTAAATGCACCTATGAGAATCCGTGCATTCTTCCCCCACCCTGCAGGAGCTTTAGAAAGGAGGTCCACAAGGTATCGGTTTTGCATGACTTAGGAGCTGAATAATCTAACAGAAGGTGGGATCATGCATCCCACACACCCTATTTGAGTTGACAAACACTATTGATCCTAAAGTGAATATACGTCTGAGTGTATAAGGCTAAAAAAGAAGCATGTGGCTGTGCTTCATGGAGCTTACATTTCAGTGAGAGACAAGAAAACAACAGTTAAAGACCAACCTAAGGCTGGAGAGATTTGGCAACAGGAGTTCTGATGAGGGAAGCTGAATGGCAGTGATGAGTCTAACCATGTAGAAAGTTTTCAGAGCAGGAATCTGGATGGAAGCAAGGCTAAGGGATTTAACTGAAGCTTAAGGAGTGAGCTGAATGAATTTGGAGAAGGCTTGCGAGGAAGATGCGCAATGAGATAGATCTTGGAAGATGAGTGGTACTTGGAGAGCTGGAACTGAGAAGGATGGGGAAGGTATTCTGAGGAAACCTTCAGAAATTCAGATGCCAAGTCTGGAAAGAGCAAAGCCTGAACTGCAGGCTAAGAGGAGTAAAGGAGTCTGGCTAGATTAGAGGAATCCTGTTAGCCAATCCCTCCTCAGGGGGCTGGCCCCTTGTCTTGTTCTACCACTTACTCACCATGTATAGTTTTGGACAAATCATGCAAACTCAGCCCTGGTTTCCTCACTCATCTTACAAAGTGTATACGTGTACTACTTACCTTACAGGCTTCTGTGAGCATCGGTGATATACAGATGATCTGATTACTTCACATGCCATTGCTAAATCACAAAAATGATGCTGCAGTAGGCAGTAGGAAACACCCCAGGCTCCATGTAAACAGGAAAACAACTCCTTCCAGAAGCATAAGCTGCTTAATCATCATTTTACAGTGTTCATATGCAAAGTTCTATGCTAGGCACCAGGAAGACAACCCTTCTCTTCCTTCAAGATTACTCAAACCTCTTCAACTGTGAAGCCTATTTTGAACCCCAACCTCCCCACAAAATTAGTTGCTTTCTCCTCTGTGAACTTTATACACACCTGTGTAAGCATATATCACACTGCTTTGAGATTCTTTGAGAGGGAGGTTACACACAATGCTTAGAAGCAAGAGCTCTGCAGTCAGATATACCATAATTGAAGACCAGTTTCGGCACTTAGAATCCTTATGATTTAGGCAAAGCTGCCTAACCTCTCCATGACTCAGTTCCTTCATCTGTAAAATGGGATATACCTCATAGAGTTGGAGAATTAAGAAAAGCATTTAGGGCCGGGCGCGGTGGCTCATGCCTGTAATCGCAGCACTTCGGGAGGCCGAGGTGGGCGGATCGTGAGGTCAGGAGATCGAGACCATCCTGGCTAACACAGTGAAACCCCGTCTCTACTAAAAATACAGAAAATTAGCCGGGCATGCTGGCAGGCGCCTGTAGTCCCAGCTACTCGGGAGGCTGAGGCAGGAGAATGGCGTGAACCCGGGAGGCAGAGCTTGCAGTGAGCCGAGATCGTGCCATTGCACTCCAGCCTGGGGAACAAGAGCAAAACTCCGTCTCAAAAACAAAAACAAACAAAAAAACCCAAACAAGTAGCCAAGCCTCAGGCAATCACAGAAACCATACTTCAGCCGCTCAACAGACAGCCAACTGTTCAGTGTTCAAATAACGCAAAAGCCAAGCTATAACCATTCCAACTGTTTCTGTGTCTCACTTCTGTTTTCTGTATGTTTCTTTCCTTTTTCTATTTATAATTCCTGTCTGACCATGTGACAGTGCTGGAATCTCTCTGAACGTTCTGATTTTGAATGGGGGCTGCCCAATTTGAGGATTATTATTTGCTCAGTTAAATTATGTTAAATTTAATTTCTTTCTTTTTTTCTTTTCTTTCTTTCTTTCTTTTTTTTTTTTTTTAGATGGAGTTTTGCTCCTGTCACCCAGACTGGAGTGCAATGGCGCGATCTCGGCTCACTGCAACCTCCACCTCCCGGGTTCAAGCGATTCTCCCGCCTCAGCCTCCCAAGTAGCTGGGATTACAGGTGCCTGCCACCACGCCCGACTAATTTTAGTATTTTTAGTAGAGGTGTGGTTTCACCACATTGGCCAGGCTGATCTTGAACTCCTGATTTCAGGCGATCCACCCACCTTGGCCTCCCAAAGTGCTAGGATTACAGGCGCGAGCCACTGTGCCCCGCCTAAATTTAATTTCTTTGAATTTTTTCTCTTAGCAACACCCCTGCCAAAATAAATGACTTCCAACTATCCCTTCCATTCTTGGGTCACTTGGTCGAGAGTCAAATACTGGAGAGAATATCTGCTCACTTGAGTTTAGGTCGCATTGGTCCTTACAGGTGCAAACAGAAGAAAAAAATTTCCTTCACCTTTCATGGTGGGAGGTGCCTACCAAGACGCACCCTCTTAAGAAGAGTACATTAAATGAGAACAGATGATTTCCTAAAAGGAAATGGGGGACCTAATAGAAAAAGGGAATGGACACTGGGCAGGCAAAAATGGCCAATGTCCTTTATATCAGTTAATGCTGCAGATGAATCACAAGATAGAGCTGCGTATTTTGGTATGCACCTGTAATCTTAGCTCTTTAGGGGCCTGAGGCAGGAGCAACACATGAGCCCAGGAGTTCAAGACCAGCCTGGGCAGCATAGTAAGACCCCATCTCAAGAAAAAACAAAAAAAGAAGAACCACAAGATGGAATGGAAAGGGCCCTTCAGAAGTAATCTGCTTTTGCACAAAAACCAGAGATAGACAATGCAGAATATTATTTGAACCTGACTCTGAGAGCATCATTTGGTCTTCCCTTTTCTTTTTCTTTTTTCTTTTTTTTTGAGATGGAACCTTACTCTGTTGCCCAGGCTAGAGTGTAGTGGCGCAATCTCAGCTCACTGCAATCTCTGCCTTCTGGGTTTGAGTGATTCTTGTATCTCCCAAGTAGCTGGAATTACAGATGCCTGCCACAATGCCCAGCTAATTTTTGTATTTTTAGTAGAGACAGGTTTTTGCCATGCTGGCCAGGCTGGTCTCAAACTCCTGACCTCAAGTGATCCACCCACCTTGGCTTCCCAAAGTGTTGGGATTACAAACATGAGCCACCGCACCTGGCCTGGTCTTTCCTTTTCAAACTTTTCATGCTTCATTCATTCATTTATCTATTAGGCCAATCGCACAACAAGTATTTTTTGCTGGCCATCATGTTGGGTGTCACAAATACAATGATAAATAGAAAGAAACATGGTCTTTGCGCTTGTGGAGGTTTCAGTCTTGATTTACAAGAAATGCATCTGCTCTTTCCCCTTTCATTATTCCTAATCTAATAGAGTAAGTGAAATAGACTAATTCTCTCCCTGGGTTTCTGACCCTACTTTTGCTGGAAAATCTTGGATAATGTTTTTGGATTATTTTCAGTGGCAATATTTGCATCCACAAAACTGGGCAGGTCCTGGGACAAGAGTTTAGAATTGCATTATGATCTTGAGGCCTGAGCTATTTAAATGAATGTTTGCATGCAAACATGAAGCTTTAAGAGGAATGATGGTTTCTGATTATACACCTCCAGGGTGCCAGCTGAGCACTTAGTAGAGATTTTAATCTGTACCCAACAAAGCATTTGCAATGGGAGTTCTGCAATAATACAGATGAGTACTCCAGGAATAGGCAGCCAGAGCCTATGTCTCAATGGCAGGTCTCTGGCCTTGAGTTACCTCTGCTCCAGAAGCACCTGAGAGCTTCCTCCACCACACCCCACACTGCCACCCTGGACTTCCTGTGGGCACTCACCTGACTGAATGTTGCAGTCATTTCAGGTTCTGCTTCAGGAAGCAAGTGGACTTTTGCTTCTGGCTTCAAGAGGGAGGAGAGAGGATGGTGATGT